CTTTTGTCCACTGTGAGGTGCGCCGCTATGGTAATTATCAAGTGCAACATCGCACTGCGGCGAGCGCCATCAATCAAGCTTACTCACCCGAGAGAACAAGGTTTTTTTTTTCCAGTGACCTTCTGAATGATTGTTTGCACCCCATATAAAACTAGGCCGGCTCGAGGACTCCGGATGGAGGCTACTCGTATCTAAAGTTACAACCGGCTGCGAGAGGCGCGCCCCATGGACCATTACGAATTCGCATTCGCGCACACAAATTATTGGTGGAGCACACGATTTGAAGAGCATTGCTCCATTCGTTAATCTGAGGACATGGAATCTGCAGAGTCGCTGGAACAAACATAAGCTTGCATTTTTAGGGGTGCAGGGCGCATTACTTCGTCGTCATATCCAAAAAAAGATTCATCCTTGCAGGAAGTAAAGCCATTTTCCAGTTGAGTCTGATTAAAAGTGGAAACGGTAATACAGAGTTGCTTATGGTATGCCTAGAACCTTAGTGCACATCTTTTCAACTATGCCATCTGTAATAATATTGCGTCTCCGTTTAAATCAACTTTCAAGCTCAAAATTTCATAAATGTGTTCAACGATGATATCATCGTAGAACCGATGATTTCTTGCTGTACTGTATCTGACCTCTTGTGAGGGGCGGGCTATGCCTATCTCATGCTAATTGGGAGATCCCTCACCCAGTCTTCTACACTCTTGGACCACTTAAGGTCATACTCTTGTTCTCGGTACAGTAATCATAATAAACACTGAACCACCAATATCTTGTACATCACATTTCTCATCGCTTCTTATACGGGCCCACCCTTCGCCCAAGAGCCTCAACACCCGCTCATAGATGATAATTGATTCTATGGACCTTGCGTTTCTATTGTTGAATATAATGTTTGAACACGAAATTGTGTAGCTATTATAGGGTCTTGAAATTTCAATAATGCCGAGAGAATGGCTGCAGAATGAAAAAGGTATGCTTAAACATGAGCTTGCACTATTCGATGATTACGTTAAGGAAGAAATAGAGTCCGCTATTTGTAACGTTATCTGGTTGGCTCATAGTTCTTTCGTCATATAAAAGAACAATTTTTCGTCCGAGAATGGACTCATTATGAAATTTGTCGAGAAATTACGAGGCCTTGAGGGCAAGGTTTATGACTTTTCTTCATTCGTCGATGGATAGGCTGTCTTTACAGCACTAGTGATACCATAGAAAGTTGGGGAAAGGATGGTATTTTGGATCACGCAAGAAAGAAGTTTGATAGTGATGGCTAAAGCATTTCTTTGCTCTGTGGACCACTTAGAAGCATGAATGAATATGAACTATGAATAAGCAAAATTTGGTTAAGTTAATGGTTCTCATTTGAAGTCAATTAAATACTTTGTTGCAGAAGAAACTCTAGCATCCTTTTTTTTCAAGCCTTCTATATGTTTTTTATACAGATATTGCTTATATGTCAATGTCTTTATCAAAATTTCGGTCGGCCGACGATATATGACAGGTAAAAAAATAAGCTCGGAAAAAAGGTTCACATCCCCATTTGAACATCGATTTGTGGCAGAGCAGAGACCTTCTTGTGAGGTACCCGCTATGGTAATTATCAAGTGCAACATCGCACTGCGGCAAGCGCCAGCAATCAAAATTACTCCGCGAGAGAACAAGGTTTTTTTCCACTGACCTTCTGAATTATTGTTTGGACAATGAGGAGGAGAAGAGAGACAGAAACGGGCCCGCCGGCTCGAGGACTTTGGATGGAGCCCCAGGCAACGATTTCCTTTTGATTTTTCATTCGTTTTCTCGTGATTTCATATATCTGTAATAGTGGTATTTACTCTCCTACGGCTTTGTTCATTGTACCATTATGCCTTTTCTAATAAAGCTTATTAAAGAGATACTCTGGTTGTTATCCACAGTGAGGTCCGATGGAATGACTATTCAATATAAAGAACTCG